GGTATGAAAAAAAAAAAGAGGGGGGGGGGGGGAGTGCTATGATAAATAACGTAAAAATCCTAACTTTAGCACAATTTATTTATAACATAACATAATATTACAGTAGACATTATTATCTCACCAAAATTTTTGTATGAGCTTTAAGAACTCACTCTGTATATACCTAAAACATGATATACACTGTGTGATGGTCGGGTGACTTTGTGCGAAGAGGTGGCGGCAAAAATAGTGACAGTAGGGGTGCTTTATGTTACCCACTTTGAACACCCACCTCTTAATGTCCTTCCACACTGTTTCACGTTATTAGTTAATTGACGGTCATTGGCCGCAGAAGTGTCTTATGAGATGAAGTTGTAAGGTCACGGGGAAAAAGTAGGAAATGGGTATAACTTCATCTGAGTTTATGTATTGTTGCAATGGTGGCTACCATTTTTTTCTTGTATTCCATAGAGAGTGCTAGCGCACTCTTAGCGCACTCATATAAAATGTTTGTGTGCGCTCTCTCCACACTATGTGTATGTTGTGTTCTAGAAAATTTAATTTTTGTGTGTTTTCTTATAGCAAAGTCACATCGAGCTACCTGTTTTGTCCATCGAGGGGAATCGAACCCCTGATTTTAGCGTTGAAAATCTGAAGACTTATCGCTGTCCCACCGGGAAACGTAAAATTGAAAAGTTATTTTTATTTGGTGTAAGAGCGTGGCATTGTATATGAATGTAGTTAATGTTAACGCTCAATAACAGCAATAATGGGGGTGGAGAGGTTGTGCACCCCCCAATTAACATGTCTCTTGTTCAAGACTACCATCCCACAAAGTTTGTTTGAGGGTGGTACAGCGACCTATGAGTGGTTAGATAAGGGACAAAAAGACAGACACACGAATTATTGTCCTTTATATATATAGATATATACAGAAAAATAAAATAAAATTTTAACAGAAAGTAGGGATCGTTGGTTATTCGTAGAATTGCCATAAGAAGTATCCAAAACAAAATAAGTACTGCAGTAAAAAGTACACAAACAAGTACAGTGATACTAGTTGCATAGATTTTAAAATAATTATCAATCCCTACTTTGGTTGGCATTGTGAGCCGTATAGCTAAAAATCTATCCTATAGTACTGTGTATACTTCATTTTGAAATTCATAGTTTTCAAACAATCTTGTTTGTTTACCTTCTATGCTATACCCGTATAAAGTATATATTAGGTCGTCAAGAAATTAATGTCGCTTTTTGTTAGATGAAAAAAAAACCCGAACAACTTATATATCAAAACAAAACATTCATTAAATGAAATAGTCTCCATTCTTATCGATCATGCTTTTCCATCTTACAATCAGGTTGTTAATGCCCTGATTAAAGAAATCACTTGAATTTGAAGCAAAAAACATGTCGATGTCCTCTTGAACACCTTCCACATTTACATACGTTTTCCCATTAAGATGGTGTTGCAGCGAAAGAAAAAGATGGTAAGCTTATGGTGTCATATCTGGAAAATATAATGTGT